TGTGAGAAAGTTGGACCGGACAGCCAATCTAGCACAATTGACAAATCCCAAGGTGGACTGGTTCGCCTGAGCGCAGGTCGAATCCGCTCCGCGCCAGCAAGAAAGCGCTGTACGAGAGGGTGCTGCCCCAGAAGAGCACCATCGACAGGGGTGTGAAAAGTGGAAATAGAGGTGGAGTAGCCACGAATGGTCGAAGCCGCCAGGCCTTCTTGTAAACGAGCTTGCAAAAACTCCAATACTCGGACTAAATCCGCAGAAAAGGGATCTGCAATGCCCCTATCTGAACACCAGCGCGCATAGCGGACCACCTATCCTCGTACTGAACGTTTGTCGAATCCCTCCTCGAAGCCAGAATTGTGTCTGCAACTGCTGCAGGAATTCCAGCGTGCCTCGAGGTTAGACCTGACAGAGGCCAAGCCACCCACTGAATCCGTGGATTTGGGTGGAAGCTCCGTTCGAGTGAGAATGTCCGTTCGTTAAAGGTAATAGAACAGGAGGCTGAGCCAGAAACCTGAGAATTACCGGAAACCAGCTCTGTGACGGCCAAAGCGGTGCCAGTAGCACAAGTAGCCGAGCTGGCTGGGTGGACAGCTGTGAAAGGACACGGGGAATGAGTGGTAACGGCGGGAACGCCCAGAGCACTTTGCCCGTCCAATCCAGCAGGAAGCGTCGGCAGCCAACGCCCCTGGGTCCGTATCCGAGAGCAGAACACGGTGTCTGATGCGTCCCGCCGGGCGCAAACAGATCCACCTGGAGCGACCCGTACAACTGGGAGATTACTCTGAAAATCTGCCTGTCGAGCATCCACTGTCGCGGGGCCAGGATCCGGGCGAGAGCGCATCTGCTCGCACGTTCTCCAGCCCCGGGAGATAAACAGGGAGTACCTGACAGTCGCACTGATCGCACCAGAGGAGAAAGTCCCACGCCTCCCGGAGGAGCGCTGGGGACACCGTGCATCCCTGCTTTAGGATGTACGACATGGCCGTCTGGTTGTCCAACTGAAGACGGACTACCTGGCCACGGACATGCTCTCTGAAGCGCTCGAATACCAACCGCACAGCTCTCAGTTCCAACACGTTAATGTGAAGGTGGGCTTCGGCTCAGGACCAGAGTCCCCAGACTGCCCAGAACACCCCCCCAGCCCGTGAGGGACGCATCGGTCTGAACTGTAAGAGCTGGCGTCGGGATGCCCAAGGGGATCCCCCTGGTGAGATTCCCGACATTTGTCCACCACTGAAGGTGAGGTGTCAACCACTCGGGGACTGTGAGACTGCGCTCCAGATCCTCCGTGTGAGTCCACAGCCGAGCCAAAGCTTGCTGTATAGGACGCATCCTCAACCGCGCCCGCCACACTACAGAGATCGTCGCCGCCATATGGCCCAGTAGACGGAGCCAAGTCCGTGCTGGTGCCTGGGGCTGGGAGAGGAACGAAGATACCATCTCCCGAACTCTTGTGATCCGGTCGGGCGACAAGGAAACGAGATCCTTGTTTGTTTGGAATAGCGCTCCAAGAAAAACCAAGTCCTGGGTGGGTACCAGGTCGGATTTCTTGAGGTTGATGATCCAACCCAGTCGAGTTAGAATGTCTATCACTGTGCGAGTAGCATCTAGACTCGCTGGCTGTGTTAGTGCTCCGAGCAACCAGTGCCGTCGAGGTTAGGGTAACAACGCCTTCCTTGCGAACGAGCTAGGGTAGCTGGGACTAACATGAGCTTGGTGAACACCCTTGGGGCAGTCGATATGCCGAAGGGGAACACCCTGAATTGGTAACACATCCCGTTTTAAAGAGAACCGAAGGTACTGCTTGAACGATGGATGTATGGGCACATGCAGAATCACGCATCCTTTAGGTCGATTGACGTAAGCCAATCGCCCGGGCTGAACAGATGAGATCACCGGCGCAGTGTCTCCATCTTGAAGGATGGTACTTCGAGCATCGCGATTCAACCCTTGAGGTTGAGAATCGGACGGAACCCGCCGTCTTTCTTCGGGACGAGGAAGTACGTGGAGTAAAATCCCGCCTGTTCCTCTCCCGGTGGAATGCGCTCGATTGCGGACTTGTCCAGCAGAGCCTGAACTTCGTCGCGCAATATGTCCGCCCTTGCCTGACATGACGGCACCGGAGTGCGGCGTATGCCGGTGAAGTCGGGCGGACCTCGCTTCCACAGTGGTAAATGGCCGATGCTGACGGTGGCCAGCACCCAAGCATTGTTGGTAGCCTTCTCCCATTCCGGCAGGAATAGAGAGGCGGCCTCCCACTGGGATATGGGGTAGGAGCGCGTGCGTTGTCCCGAGTAGCGGAGCTGACTGGGCAGACCTCCCGTGCCCGCGAAAAGGCTGGGAGCTAGTCGAGGACTGCTCCTTGCCCCTACCCTTGGCGGACCTGCTCCTCCGCCTACCCCTACCAAGCGGCTGAAGGCAGCCGGCAGACTCGGGTGTAGGCTGCACCCCGGCGGAGGAAGGTGGAACGGGAGCGCGGGGGCGAGACACCCGCGGGTGCTCCAACAAGGCCTTAGAGTCCTTGAAGGAGGTAGCTGCAGCGGCAGCCTCCCGAATGACCTGCTGGGCCCCTGGAAAGAGGGTCGCTCCCAGACGGAAAGGGAGGGCCAGCAAGGTCTGCTGCGTCGCTGCCGAGTACCGAGACGTCGACAGCCACAGCCTGCGCATCCCCATGACTGCACACATCACCGTCGGCGCAGCAGACCGCAAAGAGTGGCGCCAAAGTGTGCCTGAACTTCCGAGCTGGACGGAACAGCACGACATGCGGCGAAACGTCGCCAGCATGCCCCTCCGCCTCCAGGGCCGACCTCTGAATCGAGGGAGAGGTAGGCCTCATGGACCACTACCCTGACCTGCTGCATCGCATTCCGGTAGACCTCGTGGGTCGTGCAGCGTGCCTCAGGGGCGCCAGCGAGGGGCAAGCGGTGGAGTGAGGCGCCCTTGCCGAGCAGCGGAGCAGATCCGGGAGGAAGCCGAGCCTCCCCCCAGGGCGACTGAAGTGAACACGCACTCGTCAACGATGGGAACCACGAACAGGGAGTCCTCCCCAAGTTGGTATCTCCGTACTAAATCCGGCAAGTCGAACCGGGCACGGGTACCAGACAAGAGGGGATCAACCACGTCCTGGACCAATGAAGGCAGAATGCGGAGCTGCGTCTGAGAGGGCTGCCGAGGGGCAAACGCCTCGCCTGGCAAGCGGAACTCAGCCGAGTCCCAGCTGCCAACAGGCACCGCGGCTCGGGGTAGGCCCTCGGCAATTCTTTGCCGGACCTCCCGCAGAGCCGAAGCAAAACGGAAACCTCCGTCATGCTCCTCTACCTCCCCAAGCTCCATTGACTCGGCGCCCGAGACCGAGTCTGAGGCTGGGTCTCCTCTGAAAGAGGACCCTAACCCCCGACCCGGTGGGCGGCCTAGCACTAGGAAGCACAGAGAGGGAAGAGCAGACAAGTGCTCCACGTCGGCGCCTGGAAGCGTGCACGGACCCCGGTCCCGAGACGCTGGAGGCAGACCGGGCAGAACTGGTGCCTCCGCTCTCATGGGGCGGGAGTGCGCAGGGATCGGAATACCAGGAATACTCAACAGTCCCTGCGCCAACTCCGAGAGGGGGACTGGGAGCACCTCCCCCTCCGGGACAGCCGAGGCGTCCGGACCCGAAGCCAGAGGCAACGGGTCTACAGACGCCTCAAGGCTGAGGGATCGAGCCGAGCCCGGCGATCCCACCCCCTGACTCTCCGCCCCCCGTCCGGAGTGAGCGAGGAACTCCTGCCGGAGACCTCCAACAGACTCACGAACGAGGGACTTCACAGAGTCCATATGCTGCTGAAACAATTTGTCCATTAGTGACATGTCAAATCCACCAGTACTAGCGGGAGAGGGGGTTTGGCTTCGGGATTTTTTTCCCTTACGTGACTGTTTCTTAGTCTTAGACGGGGGGGACCTGCGTCAGTTCCCCACCCGCCTCACGCATCTCTCTGTAAAATAGCGTGTCCGCCGCCCTCCTCTTTTGGGCCCGGGGGGAAAACCCAAGACATATCGGACATGCTTCCGCGTCATGGCCAGTCTTTTCTAGACAGGCTACGCATTGGTCATGCCTGTCGGCCCGTGGAATGCTCTGTCCACAGACCGAACAGGATGAAAAGGCCTGAAAGCAAACACGCAAGCATGTAGCTAACGGCGGACCAGCAGCATATATACACGTAGAAAACATTGAAAAATACGTGAAGGCTACCACGGAAAGTAATAGTTGGTTCAATACGCAATATTACGACCACATGGCACGCTAAACTTCCCGCCATGGCAGAGCAACACGTGCGTAAACCACGGGAAAGTTCGCGTAATATAATTAATACAAAGTCACAATTATGAAACAACCAACTGTAAAGCTTTACTGTTCCTTTTCATAGGCAAATAAAGACCATACATACAGGTGGTGTCTCAGACATAGTTGTTTTCTTTCTCAGAAAGCTCAGCTCTGCTAACACTGTACGGCTCATGCACGTCTGTTCATGGCAGTGACAGCAGAAGGAATGATGATACGGGTTTAGGAGCCTACCCAGTTGGTGCGCATGCGCAACGGGAGGTAACTCCGTGAGGTAGGGGCCGTATAATAAATAAAAGAGTTTATTTATTGTTCAATCTTTTTATTCAAAAAACATTGATACAACTGTCACAGGACATTTTTCAGCCGGAAAATGCATAATATGTACCCCAAGGACGATCTCTTTGAAGAAGAATTAATTTGTTTCTGGGAGTTATATTAAGAAATGAACTAAGCAACAAGGTTAAAGTCGGGCGGGGGATGTAGGAGGCGGGGGGATGTAGGATACCACTTTTGATTATCGTGACTATAGTTTTACGCCACACTCCGCAATATACCAGCTATATGGTGGTTGTTCGTAAATAATTGTGTCTGCACCAATCTGGACAGTGATCAACATCATGAGCATCGATCTACGCAATTGGGATACGACGACACGTGTCAACCAAGTAAGTGAGCCTGACCACCGGATCCCGTTAGTCGCCTCCTACGACAAGTATTGGCTACTGCAGACCCATTCTAATCCGGACCTTCACGGGTGTAGTTTGGATTATAAATATACGCAAGGCTTTGAAGAGGTAGGTGTGCGTGCGTGTGCGTGCGTGCGATTGTGTTTTTGGTAGTCTATGCAGTATAGTAGGCAGGGCATGTTCGGGTGTTTGTTTTGTGGCAGTGTGCATTTTATGTAGATTTGAATGTAGTTTTCTGTGACCTGTTTGCAATTTGGTTATTGTTTCAATGTTTCCAGATTTATGGTCAATTATATGTCATATTACCACGTCCCAGTCAGAGATAGCCAATGGAATGCTTTAGATGCAACTTGCTGTCACGTGACTATGTAGGAAGTAGTAAGACAAGTAGGAAATGTGAATTTCCCTTTTCAGAGGAATGAATCCATTCTTATATATACACCCATCTCCGGGTAACAGTTCTTGGTGAATAGAGTCCAGTTATGCGGTGCATGGCTTTTCCTAGTGGTTCTGACACCCGTCCAAGGGCGGATCCAGTGGTTCTGCCATCCGGGCAAGGGCGGATGCAGTGACGCTGCAGTCAGTTCCGATCTTCATGGAAGGAATATAGGCACTGTCTGCATCTTTATGGGATGACATCGTAGATCAGCACAGCTCTCAAGACGTAGTCGCAGCAACTCACAGCACTCAGTAACACCTTCTCACGCAAGCTGGTTGAATCTGACAACAGATTGTATAACTTTAGGCTCATTTTTCAATCACATGTGAAAAATTTATAAGTCTGATATTTCACAATTCAACAGATATATGAAGTCATAAATTCAATATATACACATGATTATACACAATAATCAAACATCAAGACATATTCAAACCGTAAACCAGCCAAGAAGAACACCCAGGGTGTAAATCAAGTGTTGAGACGTGATGGACTGTTGTTTACATTGAAAACATGTGAACAAACAGCCCAGCTAACACGAAAATGTTTTAAAAATATCCCCAAAACATTTCGTGAAATGTTCCAGAAACATTTTTTTAAATGTTTTATTCACGTGATTTTGTATGGTTCCAGAAATGTTTTAAAAACATTTTCAAAAACGTTTAACTATAAGGTTTTTAAAATGTTTTCCTGAAATGTTTTTGAAATGTTTAAAAGAAATGTTTTATTCACGTGATTTTGTATGGTTCCAAAAATGTTTTTAAAACATTTTCAAAAACGTTGAAATATAAGGTTTTTAAAATGTTTTCCTGAAATGTTTTTGAAATGTTTAAAAGAAATGTTTTATTCACGTGATTTTGTATGGTTCCAAAAATGTTATTAAAACATTTTCAAAAACGTTTAAATATAAGGTTTTTAAAATGTTTTCCTGAAATGTTTTTGAAATGTTCAAGAAAAATGTCTTTTTCTCGTGATTTTGTATGGTTCCAGAAATGTTTTAAAAACATTTTCAAAAACGTTTAACTGTAAGGTTTTTAAAATGTTTTCCTGAAATGTTTTTGAAATGTTTAAAAGAAATGTTTTATTCACGTAATTTGGTATGGTTCCAAACATGTTTTTAAAACATTTTCTAAAACGTTTAACTATAAGGTTTTTAAAATGTTTTCCTGAAATGTTTTTGTAATGTTAAACAAAATTATTTTATTCACGTGATTTTGTATGGTTTCAGCAATGTTTTAAAAACATTTTCAAAAACGTTTAAATATAAGGTTTTTAAAATGTTTTCCTGAAATGTTTTTCGAGATGTTTTGGAAATGTTTAAGAAAAATGTTTTATTCGCGTCATTTGTATGGTTCAAGAAATGTTTTAAAAACATCCCAAAAACATTTACATAATGTTTTTGGGAAATATTGTAGAACAATTTCTGAAACTGTCAAAACATTTTACTCACTTGATTTTGTAAGGCTCCAGACGTGTTTCATAAACTTATGATTGTGTTATTTTGAAGGCATATTCATAAAAATTACATATCATGTTTCGATACACTGTCATAAAAAATGTTTAAAAAAAACCTTCTGAACTTCTGTTCCAGTTGTGAAAACATAGTTACCATCCAGTCCAACAGAGTTGACCATGGCATTATCCCATGGGCAAGGCCTTGAATTCTACACTGATGTGTAAAGAATTATGTAAACAATTCAACAACGCAAGGGATATAATTCTATAAAGAATTTAATCTGTTGATATATTCATTTGAAAACACAGTCTTTCAGTTCAATTATCTGAGTCGGCTTCATCTGCTTCATCTGTAACCACGGTCTGCCTAGCCTTTTGTTGATGTTTCTGAAAACATAAAAAGTGTTAAGTACTATTTTGACGTCATATAGTATCATGCTATTGCCTAACCAAACAAATTAGATGTGTATATATAGATCCACAAGAATAGTTGTATATTTAACTAAAACACATACTCATTTATGGATTTGTGAAAGAGACAGTAACTTTATTTTGCACGTTAACTTGTATTTACTTGTAGATTATGTTAATGACCAACTAAGACAAAGTCACCCACACAAATGTGACCGAATAGAAATATACGTGGAGCACTGCAGAGTTACAACATTAAAAAAGGCAGAATCTATGGCACCGGCATAATATGCCAAGGGAAACCACTCCCATCTTGAATATAAACTAAAATTATCTGCTCTTGAATTATTGGAAAGGTCACGGCCATTGTTATTCACATGCGGACACCTTTCACTGCTATCCTTTCCTCGATTATCAAAAAGGTATGTTGTTTCACACTTCTTCCAGCATTGGAGTCACAGGGTGGGAATAATAATGTTTCTGACGTTAAATGGGTGGTTTATTCTGCACGTTGTTGAAGTTTCCAGGCGAACCATACAGCTTTATGCAATATACAATCCCCATACGTAAAGATAATCACTTGTGTGAAACACACCCTGCCTGGAAACGACAATTTTTTCACAGATTACTTAGCCCCTTCTACATACATTCGATTGTAACTTACAATGCTAGCCTACAATCGCAACGTGCAAGAGATCGTAATCTTAAGTATTTACAATAATTGCAGCGCTAATATTGCTCTATGAAAGTGGGCCCTGGTCAGAAAACAGATTCAGGGATTGATTGGCATTTGTCAACTTCCCTTACCTTCACATAGTTTGCTCCACCAGGTTTGTTGGGGGCATTTCTTAAGACCTCTAGCATTTCAGATCTAATGTCGTGAAATGCTAAGGTCTTTCCTGATGCTTTCCTTGCCGCTGCTAAAACATAAATGTTAAATATTGTAAGTATAAAAGAATGAATAATTATGAAATACATACACTTAAATTAAAATTATATAATAATGATAATAATAAATGCATATTTATAATGCGCCCCTTCCACACCCTAAAGCATGCTCAAAGAGCTATACAGCAACAATCATCTGGTACTCATTTGCTATTTAGTGTTCAGTAAAAGTCAACATGATAAAAATAAACAGGTTAGGTTTAGAATCCCAATATCAATATCTTATTCCTCTTGCAGAAATCTTCCTTATTTGATGTACACTTACCATGTAATATCACTAAGCTCTAAAATCATATAAAATCTTCAAAAGGTATGAATATGTAACTTGACTGTTGTGTACAGTTAACTGCAAACATGCACAGCTGGCTAGGCATAGCAAAAGAGGTGCTCTACAGCATTAATACAATTACATGAACATATTGTTGAGAACAGACTGGTCGAAATACTGAGAGCTTATAAATTATACCCTTTGTAATAAAACAATGTAAGCTTACAGGTTATTATCCTATATATCGGCTTGCCGATGAAGGCAAGCTTGCCTTTCTGGCCTGTTCCACTGTAATGGCTCATGAGGTTGTTCGTCATGAGGGCTCGCATGAGGGTCCGGCATATGACTCCGGCATCATTGCCACCTTGCAGTGATGCAAGTGAGTTGATCTGCAACAAAACCCTGTGTTCTCTAAGGCAAGGACTATTTATATTTTGTCCTATAATACATTTGAGACATTATCATAAGTCAGTGCAACCTAGTTATTTGAATATAAACATACATATTTTTACATCGTTGTTGATTTTGTTTATATTAAGACTCTACAAATCATTTCCACACTCAAAATCTTCAATCCCACAACGCATACACAATATCATTTAGAAATTGGTCAAATGTAGGACACGTTCCATTTGGCATTAAACTTCTCAGTAAGGTACAGATTCTATTGCTTTTGCTGTGCTGTGGCACATCCATTATTCAAATCCACACCCTCATAGTCAAGCACCTAATCACCAGCATTCTTTACTGAGAAAGTGTAATCCCAAATACAACATGTTATACTTTGAATCCCACAGTCATTTAGAGTCTATATGCTACTTGTGATGTTAATCTCTACATATAATATCTACTGCAAGAAGTACTATTAATTTACATACAAGTTTTCTCCTGCTTTCCTCGTCAAGACCTTTCTCGAAATCGTCCATCTCACAAGGTTTGTCAAGCTTTTGGCCAGCTGGAAGTAGATCATCGACCTGCTGGTCCTCCGTTTCTGTTCTGAATTGTCTTTTGAAAATTTTCATGTCGTTCTCCAACTTGTCAAGCTTGGCAAGTACTGAAAAATTAGGGACTCATGTTCACTTTGAACATAATACTAAAGTGAAGTATGACATACACAGTGACCAACAAATATTGGCATTTGTTGTAATCAACTTTATAATCAGACAATTCAATGAACCTTCATGTTTCTGTAATACATACAATTAGCAGAGTATATTATATTTCATATTTGTATATAAGTTTAATAATTCAAGGACTTACCTTGTTGTAACAGTTCAGTAGTGCTCTTTTCATTTGAATCCGTTGAAGTAGGAATTTGCTTTGTGGGTTTGGGCAGGGATGGAATATCAGTTTGTGCAGCCATTGTGGGTTCTATATGACAATGAAAGAGGAAAGTGTCAGCATATTGATTTTCGAAAGAGTGTTTTGGTTTCTCAACACTTTCAACGGCACTGGAAACCCTATCAGAGCAGGGCACTCTCTGCCTTTGTTAAACTGTTAAATATACTTTTTCATTATGTTAGTGAAAAGCCTCCTACCCTCGCATAAATAACTGTTATTATAGTGCTAAATAAATTCACACTGCTTAAACTAATAACATTCATTACCATCTTCATCACTCCATTCATCCGCTGCCTCATTCTCACTGATTAGCCTATGAGGCCTCTTCCTCCTTCTGGATTCATCCTCGGATTCCAGGTTTGAAGTGTCTTCTGCACGTTTACAGTACTTTCTTGCTGTTCCATAATCTGGATAATCTGAAAGGTAATCCTTTATGATTTGTAGTGGCGTGTCTTTAAATATCGTTCATAGAAAACTGACACAAGGAAATTTTCCTGGTCATCATATAGAACTTATCAAAAAGTCAATGTAGAATACAACAACCGAACGTGTCACATGAACATCCACTCTGTGGCAAAAACTTGTGGCTACGAGACCAAAAACTGTCTTTTGATATCATATAAAATGCCTATAAACATCTTATTAACTTTATAATATAAAAAAGAACCTGTGAAGATCCGGGGTAGAATAGGTCTTCAGCAACCCATGTGCTTGCCATAAAAAGGCGACTATCTTGTCGTAAGAGGCGAATAACGGGATCGGGTGGTCAGTTTCGCTGACTTGGTTGACACATGTCATCGGTTCCCAATTGCGCAGATCTATGCTCATGCTGTTTATCACTGGATTGTCTGGTCCAGACTCGATTATTTACAGACCGCCGCCATATAGCTGGAATATTGCTGAGTGCCGCGTAAAACTAAACTCACTCACTCACTATTATATAAAAAAGAACTAACCCTTCCCAAGCCTTCTTATCCTATACTTGGACCATCTCTCAGTGTCAGGTATTGACCTATTTCTTATTCGGCTCTTGGCATCACCGAGTGGCCAGTAGCACTTATCCTGCAACAAAATACTGTGTGCATGACAATCCTGAATTTGTTGATGTGGTTAATTTTAAATATTCCTCTTTACAAATGTCTAGTCATAAATTCATCATAGAATACTTTTCAATATATATACACATGAATTCTGTTTTGGAGCAATTTTCTTACCCCGTCTATCCAACTTGTTGGTACACATTCAACACAGTCCTCTTTCTCAAAATGGACGACTGAAAACATGATCTGCAACAAATAATCATAGTATTGTAATAGAAATTAATCTCTTTCAAGAGTGTTATGATACACCTATCAATGTTTTTTTTCAAAATTTAAAGAGTAAAAATGGTTAATGTCCCTAAATAGACTACAACATAAACACTGTATATGGTAATTAATTAAATTAATTAATTAAAATTATCAAAGGGTCAGTGTGCTCACATTGTCATATATTGGCATGATTACTGGTAACATTCACTGTTTTACATTGTTTTATAACGTATCATTTTTTATGCTATTCTTATTTTCATATAATTAATTGAATGAACCAAGAATACTTTGTACACACCTTAAGCTTCAAATAGTTCCCAATTCGTGAACTAATGATAACAGTTGCTTTATCTTGTTTGCATTACACAAACTGTCAAGTTAAATGCTGAGTAATAAGTAACATGAAAACATTCCTACCATATCTGGCCCATTGGCAATGGAGAGCATATTTTACTTTTGATACTTTGCTAATGGGAGACAACGCCTACAACCAGACTGATATAGAAATGGGAGAGAACTCCAGCCTGAATAACTTGGTTAAAAGAGGACAAGTGAGATGACTCTCTTTTTCTAATTTATTTATGTTGTAAGCATATGGCTAACGTAAATGCCTCCATATTATGGAAGAAAATGTCTGAAGAAGCAGGATGGATTTCAGTAACACTGCCCAATGAATATTGCTGAGAAATGAAATACTGACTATGAATTGATGGGATTAAAGGATAACGAATTCAACTACAAAAATGTGAAACAGAAATAAAACAGGGCAATGTCCATGCTGCAACACAGTACTCGTCATGAAAATACATTGTAGAAAAATGCGACAGAAACACACAAAATATTTGCTTTCAAGAGAAAAAAGTTATCCAGCAGTGCAGAAAGTTCAAAGAAAGGTAAGTGCTCATTGCTGATAACTGACTTCGTCACTAGATGTTTGTTTACCTGTATGATTGTACAAGAGGTTGATATAATCAAGAATCTTTTTCAGTCCTAAACTCTTGACACACATAATTTTAAAAATATTGTTATATGAACACTCCACACACCCATCCTCCCCCCCCTTCCCAATCATCATCCCCATAGCCATGAATTAGTTAAGGTGTAGGGGTTGTGTCGAGAATTAAATTTCAACATAAAACTTAGAAGACTTACAAATTAATCTTATGCAGCTATGTCAGGCAACACCATGGTCGAATTTGTTGTACAAATTCCATTCAGAAGCTATGATGAAGTGACAGGAATGCTGATTTGTTATCTTGACAGACATCAATTTTCATACACCTTGTCACAAGTGTATCAGCCTTCAGCATTGTAATTTCATAATCAATGGTGCGAAACTGCACATGTCCAATCACCTCAGAATTGCATGGTACTGTAAAGGCATTTTCCTGTCCATGGTAAACTCGGCAGAGGTAGGATTTCTCAGGAGCATTTGCTGGTTGAATCACCTCACAATACTTCCCCCTTTCAGTCCGGTACACATTGTTTGGTCTTTTGCAGCTTATATCTGTTTCTTGATTATGTACTTTCTTCACATCACAAGACTCATAAATTCTTTTCACAAGTTGTGCAGCTGGATTTTTCCCACATCTTACTTTTCTCTTTAACTGGTGCATAAAGTTTTCAAAATTCCAGGCAGCACATGCATCTAAAGAACCAAATTTCTCCACCTCTTTTTTCAAATGAAGAAGAGTATGTACATTGTACACTAAAAATTCTCTTCCATAGAATTCTCTGCACTGAGTAACAAAGTATTGAAGAAGATTATGTGCATAGTCAGCATATTTCAAAGCAAGCCTTTCATTGACTAAAATGTTCATTGCAACACACAGGCACATAAAGTGATGATAGAGGTGGTCTTGAAGGATGTTTTTGAGAGCAATCTGCCCAGTATATAACAGAAACTGTCTAAATTCAGTGGCCTTCCACCTATCTACCTCTTCCAGGTTCCTTGGTTTTCTGGCAAATTCACATGGAATAAATTGTCGCAGATGAATCAACTTCTCACTTATCTGAGCAATTTGTCCTGCTGATAATTTATTATTACCAAGTGGACCACGCATCCATGTTATGAGCAGCTTCTTCATAACCCCCAGACACACTTGATGCATGTAGTCAATAGGGAAGTCATAGACCATATCCATTGGAAGGTTAAGGAATGGTGATCTACCCTTATGGTGCTCCTCTTGGTCGACATTTCGGAAAGATTGGTTAGACCTTAGAATTAAATTCTCTGTGCATGGATAGGTAATTCTGCCAATGTACAGGCCTCTTTGATTGCACTTGTCACATCCATAGTAGCCTGAGTATTGCTTTGTGCATTTTATAAATGACCTGGCCGGTGCATCACTTGTGACACATTTTAATTCTACTTTATAATGTTTACCATTGAACTCCAGACCACCTGCAAGCAGACTATCCAATTCTGTGATTGTTTCTTCAAGGAAGTCAAGATTGGATGGTTTGCTTTTTCCAACTGTCACAGCTATAGGAAAAGGTATGGCTGGTTTTATATTACAAATCATACCCAATATTGGCCATACAGAGTAATTAGTGCTCTTGAATAGTGGAAAGCCATCAACATTTAATATGAGCATTAAAGTATCTAAATTTTGAAAACATGCCTCAGGCAACCTTCTGAGTGTAATGCACAGCATTTCATTAAGTCCAAAGTGAAAATAGTCCATGTTGGAGACTCTCAAAACCTCAATACTCCTTGGTGTTTTAAGTAAAGTTCTAGCACAGGCGGGAATGTCTGGATGGCCACTTTCCTTTAAGATCTTCAACAAATTATCAACAGCATTAGCTTTAACTTCAAACGTGTTTGCCCACACTCTCAGAGAGTCCACAAGACTTCCAGAATTATCATCACTCTCACTGGATGATGAAATATTTATAAGACTGGAAGTTTCAGGCTCATCTTCATCACACATGGATTCAACAATTCTTCCATTTGATATATATGTGTCCTCGTATGAATTCATGGTTCCATTGTAAGCAATGGCAGAATCAGTTTCATCTTGAACTAAACTATGTTCATCTCCACTCTCTCCTGAACTTTCGTCTGTACTTTTATCAGGTTCATCCTTCTCTGATAAATGCTGCCTATTTAAACGTTTTGCAGCTATCCATTTCCTATTGTACAAAAGTCTTCTCCGTCTTTTGCTTACTTGTAACATATTTTCTGTTGCCTACAAGACACATGAAAATAAATGTTGTTACACACCAGGATACTTAGATGTTTTAAGACTTCTAACAGAGAAATAGTCCAGTAGAAATCGACATGAAATTTAGTTGGCCCAGACATTTAGTATAACAAGCAAATTTGTGTCTTAAAATGATTTATAGGTTCCTGTGATGCTGAGAAAAAAACCCAACCAAAATCAATCTGGGGCAGAAAAAGTTATGACCACTTGAAACTGTACCTCAATGATGCGCTGAGATCTCTTAAATATAAAATAAGTTGTATGACTAAGGTTATCTGAGTTATCTTAGCAACATGGGGAGTTCTTAATCTTCTAATCCTATTTCAAGTGGCACTCATGTTGTTGGCACGTTTACTGGATGCTTGATTGCTTACTCTGGACTAGATCTTAAGACCCTAAATTGGTGTTTGCTATTGACTTCATTGTTTTAATGTATGCACTCACTGATTGCTGACATATATACTCATTCAAGTCTAGTAGTATCCCTAATGATATATGTAAAAAAGCATTCTGTTACTGTATCTGTAATTTCTTTTCTCACTATGCTAAAACTATGTAAATAAAATATCTAGACATGTAGTATTTAACATATTTATTCAACATTAGGTATAAACTTCTCATATACTCTACCAGGTGTTAACTTCGAAAGAGATTTGAATGTCTTCCATCATTTACATGATAAATGTATACAACAGACAATAAAGAATATTAAAAATCAGTCAAATAGCTATACTGTAGTTGGTTCAAAATTTGTCTGAAATAAATTCCTGATCGGTATTTAGATATAAATAAGACTACATATATCACCATCTGCACATTTGTGAAACAGTAATGCATGACTGAATGTAGGTTAGTAATTGAGGAAATAGGGGATTAACAGTACTATTAGTTAAGTTCCTATCAAAATGGCCTCTTTGTTTATTTCTCATGGGATATGAAATTCAAAATCTTACTAAACCAGGGATAGAAATACTTTTTTTTCTAAGTGTGCCTTAGGGCACCAGGCAAATATTTTAGGTGTGCCTTTCAGAAATCAAGTGTGCCCACATGTATTTAGAATCAATGACTGTAGCAAGGATGATGATCTTTTGAAATTTATTGTCAGAAAACAACAAATGTAACCAGTTTTCGGTTATCACTGATATGTCTTCTGCTTAAGATGGCTTTCTTATGTTACATTTGTTCTGTGAGAGGTTCACTTTTTACAATATGTCTAACATACACAATTTACTCTTCACTAACCGAACTATCAGTACTCACAACACTTTAAATGGAAAAACAACCAGATTTCTTTACATCATCCATCATAATTCCAGTGATTTCCTGGGCGTAAAAGTTAATAAATGTTTTTGCTTGTTTGTCGTTTGCTTAAGTGTTTTGTTTGGGGATTAAATTACTAAAGGTGTGCTATGTCTCAGGTGCCATAAGGGCACCAAGAACATTTTTTATCTGTGCCATTTGGATATTTACCGTGCCATGACACGCTAATACATGGGGTATTTCGAAACCTGCTAAACTGAAGTACTATTTTATAATCATGAAATGTGGTAAGCCATAAATAGAAGTGAACAAATCCTTTAGTATGTTAATGTGGATTATTAGCCACTTGATTGAGAGCGAAGGTGTGAAAGTTAGTAGGATTTACGACCTATAAGGACAATGGACACAAAACAGAATGACACCTGTCAGAACTTTATATATTAAACAATCCTAATTTTGCAATTCATATTTTAATAACAAAATTGTGAATTGGATTTAGTGAACACTGTTTACCAACATCTATATCTTGTTGGTTAAAGAAATATATCTGTTTTGTTTTTGTTCTGTTTCTATTAAAAAAGTCATTTTTAATGTACTTAATTACATTGGTTATGTAATTGTAATTTAATTCATTACATTTCAATTTAAGGTGTAGTTGTAATTGTAATTGAGGAAAATCAAAGTAATGGTAATTTGATTAATTACATTTCAAAGTAATTGAACCCATGTCTGCTATATAAGATATTTGGCCAGTGTTTTAAAGGCTTTTTAAAATTACTTTTGTTCCAAAACATTTGGCAACATATTGTACCAAGGGACTGTTCATCATTTATGGGAAGGTGATGATGATGATTTTTATGGAGAAGCATGTACAATGTGACTGACCCAGTACAAATTACCCCCCCCCCCCCATCTGCATGTCATGAACAAAATCAATGACCCCCATCCCTCTTCCCATATTTTGTAAGCTCAACTTTTAAATATATCTATGTACAAAATTTATGATCTCTCTCTCTCTCATGACCCCTCTCTCTCATGATCCCTCTCTCTCATGATCTCTCTCTCTCTCTCTCTCACTTTCTCGCTTTCCCACACTATCTTTCTCATGATCTCTCACTCTCATGATCCCTCTGTCATGATCCCTCTCTCTCATGATCTCTTTCTCTCACTCTCTCACTTTCCCACACTCTCACTCTCTCTCATACTCTGACTCTCTCGCACACTCTGACTCTCACTCACACTCTCTCACTCTGACTCTCTCTCTCTCACTCTGACTGACTCTCACTCTCACTCACACTCTCACTGACTGTCACTCTGACTCCCTCTCTCACTCTGACTCACACTGACTCTCTCACTCTGACTGACTCTCACTCTCTCTCTCACTCTCTCTCACTCTCACTGACTCTCACTGACTCTCTCACTCTCACTCTCTGTCTCACTCTGACTGACTCTGACTCTCTCTCTCACTCTTACTCTGACTCTCACTGACTCTCACTCTCTCACACTCTGACTGACTGACTCTCACTGACTCTCACTTTGACTCTCACTCTGACTCTCTCACTCTGACTCTCACTCTGACTCTCGCTCTGACTCACTGACTCTCACTCTGACTCTCACTCTCACTCTGACTCTCACTCACTCTCACTAACTGTCACTCTGACTCTCTCTCACTCTGACTGACTCTCACGCTGACTCTCACTCTCACACTCTCTCTGACTCTGACTCTCACTCTGACTGACTGACTCTCTCACTCTGTCTGACTCGGACTCTCTCTCACTCTGACTCTCACTCTGACTGACTCTGACTCACTCTCTGACTCTTACTCTGACTGACTCTCACTGACTCTGACTGACTCTGACTCTCATTCTCACTGACTCTGACTCTGACTCTGACTCACTCTCTGACTCTCATTCTCTCTCTTTTAGCCTTAATATCTTTACAACTTTGACAAGGGAGTACTTAGACGGGCGGTCTACACACTTCGTTAAATTTTTGTCCAAAGTTTACAACTAGATTAAACTGACCGAATTACATCCATATTTTTGCAATGAAATATACTGATGACGTGCAAAACATTTATATAAACGTTGCACATTTCTACAATCAATCGATAAGATAACACAAGTGACAGGATTCTTTCCAATGTACAGTATTTCGTACGTGTATTTCAAAACAAACACACATACACAAATGATACCTTTCATAACCAGCAGGCATACAATACAAACACATATTTAACATTTTGAAGAAAACATCTATTGAGATGACCCCTCGCCCGAGCGTGTGCTCCGGTGTCAATTTCACCTGTCGATACCTTACATGCTGATGACGTAACACAGGCAATTAATGTTTGTATCTACTACCCCTTATGTTTCTAAGTTTTTGATATTTTAATCAGTAAAAACACATTTTAGGGCATGTCTCAAACTTTATTTCCTCGGTCTACATTAGGTAGATGCTTCTTAAAGTGATATTTGTTATTTAAGTATCTGTAATACCTCTGAATTTTAATATAAGTCAAAAAGCATTTTTCTAGCATTTCCGACAGTACTTTAGTGCTAATGCGAGGGCCAGTACTCAAATATGAAATGCAGTTACACAAATTGAAAACGATGAGCAACAAGGTGAAAGATATACCTACAAGCTCAACACATGTTTTTGTGAGAAACGTAAGGCTTTATTGAACCGCACGTTAAAATAGTCCAGCTGTCCGTTTTTCGATCAGGTTTTTATCATCGGGATTGTCTCCCCTTGGTGTAGCGGTAGCATTTTTTCAAACATCTATTTCTTTAGCGATTTCTTTCAAATTTGAAATGTGACTCATAACATATAAACAACAATATGTGATTGCAAAAATCCAGATTTGTATGTTTTACAATTTATAAATAAACAGAGGATTAAAATACCGTAATACATTATGTGTAATCTAAAAATATTATAAAATATTTGGCAGGTAAAATACTCATAGAGGATACGCGTGGATTCTTACATGGTTATCAAGCTTAACTGGACTTCGTTCGGTGTACGTTTTTAAACCGTTATCGAGATAAATGTAGATATTGTTTAATCACTTTTGTAGGCTTACGTTTAGGGCGTGATGGGCATGATGTCTCGGAGAAGAGAATCTTTTTTTTATAATTTTGTTAATTTAAAAAAAACCAAAAACAATGGTGACGAGTGTTTTTTCTTGTTGCAAACATGTTTCTATGCATATTTTAAAACATGATTTCAGAGAAGTGGTTGGTAAAATATAGGTTTGTTCATATTTTGAACGAGAAGAGCCGATTAGATATCGACATTAATATGATATGCTCATTTCAGATGTCTATAATTATAATTTGCCAATATTTTTTTACGATATTTCATTATGGGGGCCCCATTACGGTACCTACTTGACTGGTACAGACCCGTGCCAGTTAAAAATATATATTCGGACACTTGACGTAATTTCAAAAGACGTGTCTCTCTTAACATCAACCTTCACAGCTCTTCAACCCGTCTGTAGTTCGGTGTTTGTTAGACTAACAATTAATTTCTGAAATGCACATATTTTACTTTAAGAAGTTCATAGTAACAAAAAATATAATATCATGAAAAGGAGCCCTGAGACTTTCTTCATTTTCAGAGACTAAACAAATCTGCAGAGGGATAATTTCTTGGAATTATTGTGTGTGACAGGAACATTTACTGCCCTCACCGCCCCCGGTCCTACTGTCAGTGGTGTGGGCCGATTTGGGGTAATGAGTATCAAGTGTCGCCAAATCTATTTTGAGAGCAAGCAGGGATACCAGCTAAGGGAAGCAGCTCTTGATAGCTGGACAACTGGATCTCATACAAAAGAAATCCCAAAGTTATTTATATTCTCCAAAATTCAAAGGTTGTGTCTGCACTATATGTGGAAGTTTAATTGATGTCACATATATATAATGTAACAAGGAGAAAAAGTCATCAATATCCCCCGCAATGGCAAAATATTATTCATGTATATATCAGTTAGTTACGACTATGTCAATTGTTTTGGTGTGTATATAGCAGTGAGTGAGTGAGTTTAGTTTTATGCCACACTCAGCAATATTCCACCTGTCTGTAAATAATAGAATCTGGACCTGATAAGCCAGTGACCTACAGTAGTTTAGTTTTATGCCACACTCAGCAATATTCCACCTGTCTGTAAATAATAGAATCTGGACCTGATAAGCCAGTGACCTACAGCATGAGCATCAATCTACACAAATGGGATGCAATGATATGAGGGTAATGCTATTATGAGGGTATTATCATTTGCAGAAGCCCGAGGTCTTCCATTAACTGCCCGACGAAGGAGCGCAGTTGAAAAAGACCGAAAAAATAGCATTACCGTTATTATTGCTAAAATACATGGAATTTGTGTTGAAAAGAAAAAAGAAAATATTGAAGGAATTTGACTGTCAGTTTACTCAAAACCAACTTCTGACGGGGTTGACTGACCAAATGCAATTACGCCATCGAACAATTCAAATGACGTCACAACAGAACGTGACGATATTCGACCTTGGCCTTTGACAAGACCATGGCCTGCAACATGTCAAACTATGTCAGATACAACGTCAGTTGTCAGTGTTCGGTTTTGGTCCTACAACCACATTAATAGTGCAATTGTTAAGGTTAGCACAAGCAAGAAAGCCAATATTACCGCTATTTAAAGTGGGAATTCGGTTTGCTTTGACTTTTTTGCCCCAGAATAGTTGCCAGTCCAAACCGAAAGTCGAATGAACCGACGCACCCACTAAAACGTCACTTGACAACAGAACTGATAGTGGCCCCTCGTTAGGGTTGATGCAATGTCATTTGCAGCGGTCTGCAAATTTCTGATAATAAGAGGGACGTTTCATGTTAATGCCATGTGTTTTCGCTATAATATGTGTCAACCAAGTTTGGGACTATATTACAAAGTGGAAGGAGAGTATTGAAAGGTGAAGCTGAGGAAATCTAGACTTGCCACATTTTCTAGACTTGCGTGGGCTTTCTTGGATATATTTGCTTCAGGTCTGTACGACAGACTAGGTGTTTGTGTGAGTGGTGTTTTGTACAGGCTCATCAAGTGACGAATTAATTAGAAGTTCACCATCTCTTTTGAAATTGGATCTGCGCAAATGTTTCCTTCTTTATTCGTTTCCGTTGTTTAGACCTGCTTTTATCATTATCTTTTGATTTTGCATTTTCCATCATCTGTAAACGAATAGTTCAATACACATTTCATACTTAAATGTGAGGTGAAAGAATATAAGGCATATATCAGTTTAATGAACTTCAATTTAATAAGGTTTGAATTTTATGTGTTTAACTCACACACCTTAGTTATAAAGATTATCTTCTCGGTAATTATGCATGTTAGCAACAACGTCCAGTGGTATGTTACGACTTCACTCTTGTGGCTAAGAAAGTGTTTGTATTCACACCTGAATAATTATTGACAGCAATATTATTTCCCGAAACACCAGTATTATTAAAATATCACATAATAACATTAACTTTTTTCTTAAAATTGCCGTTAAATTACTCATATTCATCCAAACAATTTATGTTTCAATAATGCATTCATTACATTCAGTTTCACTGAAAAATAATCAGTTTTTCCTAACAAAAATGTGTGCCTTGTATAACGAGGTCAACTACTTATCTATAATCTCACCAGTGTTTCTTTACTGTTTAGCAGAGGCAGCAGTATATACAAATAGTAATATGACACTAGTGTATCTGTAGAGACCCGAGCTGATATGAACCAGGCGGCCTGTGCTCGCCAATAGTGTGTCTCACAGTCGCTGAAGCAGGATATTTAACCATTTCTTAACCTTACACTAAAGCAGAAAACCAAGTCGATCTGGACTATTTTTTATTCAAATTTGAAAAAAATGATTTCATTTCTAGCGTATTGAAAAGAATTATTGGATGTTTTTAGACGGAGTGCCAGTTTAACCGGGGAAACTGTGACATATCAAGATCCAGATGGTTATAAGTGAATCGTTTCTAATATTTTCTTCAAGACAGCCTGTGATAGTGGCCATATTTTATGGGTTTTTTATGTCTCATTTTATTTCATTAAGTATACATACATTACCATCACCAATTTTACCAGAAATAAACTATTTGTTGGCAGTAAAGATATATTCTGATATATATTTATATATTAATGAAAAAAAACGATAAACACAATGATAAACAAAGCTTTCCGTTTTAAAATTTTAGAACAGCAAAACTGGAAAATCGGATTTATAGTTCCAACAAGTGTAAGAAACCTAGGATAAGTAAATAATTGATTAACCATGTGTCTGGTTTATAATTCCGAATCATATAACTTTTACATAAATACACACATGAGTTTTTAAAAACAAAATACAACGTAAAATACTTGCTTTTATGGCGACAAGAACACGAATTACTCAGAACTCGGTGCGAGCACAGGACTTGGGACTGTTGGCGCGAGATAAGTAACAGTGATTGCGCGCGCGGGAAGTCAACGGGCTGAATACGTTTCTATGATCATGATTTGGATGAGTGAAAAATTATGCCAACACTACAAATAAACTATACAACATACTTAAGTGAAAGATGATAATAGGACATTTTCAAAAAAATAAATGAAACATATATTTTGGCCCATCGAAATATGATATGCCACCAAGTTAGCTCCGGGCAGAGGGAATGGTAAGTAAGAGTTTCCAGTGTCTCGATGCTGGTTAGCCGTGGAGTTAAAAAAACTGTCGGGCGACTTTTTTATTTTTTTGGTATCCTATACTCACTTCATGAAAATTATTTATGCTACACTCAAATAACATGTAAGTCTATGGCAATTACGTCAAGTGTCCGAATATAACTGGAACGAGATCCCATAAAAAGTACCACAAAATGACCAGATCATAATATATAAGTAAGAATGTTTGCACGGCTTCAGTCCATAGGTAATAGATATAAAATTATTTAACACATGGGTAGTTATTTTAGCAAATTTCACTTACCGTAAAACTCTAGAGATGTTTCCAGTACCGCTTGTGCTGTAGGTCTGCTGTAGGTCTGCTGTAGGTCCTGCTGCAGGTCTGTGTTTGGCGGGCATCAAATGTGACGTAAGAGTTTGACGCCATATGACGTCATGTCACGAGACGTGTCATGTCATGTGAAGTGATGACAAAACATTTTAGAAATGTTTTTGAAACGTGGGTGTGGTATATTTTCTAATTGTTTAAAACATGTTAAAAACGGGATAGCACGTACGTGATTGTGCAGGGGATTAAGATGAAAAAACGCTGGAGTTTATGCGACAGCAGATTACATACTGCTCTCGTAAGAGTTAATTATAATTATGCTTACGGAACTGAAAATATCCAGTGTCGCAAATGTCTTTGTTTTTTTACAAGGCAGAACCTACAGTGTACCTACGTAGATCTATATGGGGTACATTCTGTAATACTGACTAAGATCCCTAATTATGATAATGGTATAACAGCCTTAGCATCAGTAATCGTATAACATTAGGATAAATTGTACTGATGTAAAAAGAATTCCCTTTTGGGTAATAAAGTATTAGACAATGATTTTTTCTTATCTTAAAAACAATATTTAGAGAACCTGTTCCTTGTCTAAAATTACTTCATCCGGTAGATGAATGCTTTGGATTTGTTTTTCAATTGTAGAAACTCATTGATTGAAGGTACGGTAAACTGACCTGAAATGGAGTGTGCAGAACGAAGAATATTTCACTTTATCATATCAGGCCGTAAATTTTCAAAGCGGCAGGGAAAAGTGAGATATGAAAAAAATGTTCTTTACCGACGTTGAAATGAAAATTCAGGACTAGCGAGAGATATGTAAAAGAAAACAAAAGAAAGGACAGCTGTCATTTTAAATTGTTTATATCCTTTACATGTACTATAAAGGATTTCTACTGTGTGTCTGTACATCCTATAATATGAAAACTAGTTTCATCAACCTAATGGCATCTATAATACAAACGTTATTATTAAGCTACAACTTTCTTTTCACTGTGCACTACGTCTGAGATACTAAAGTTTGTAACATGCAAATGCCAACCTGCTGCATCATCTGTATATGGGTCGGGGGCCACACATGCGGAATAAACGATTGATTGATTGATTGATAAAGGATTTTGCGATATATTCCTTTAAATCATTTTAAAATATGGTCTATGGTGCTTTTAAATATTTGATTCAGGAATTAATTACAGATTTTAAGGCAAGACAGAACGAATTAAGCCGAGAACCGCGATAACTGTCGTTACTCAACATGGCTGGCGACGAACACGAAATAAGCATTGCTAATATTGTAGTTTTAGGCAAGTACTCGTCAAGCTGCACCGACGCGTGTCTTTCCTGAATATTATCCTTTTTATTTCCTTCTTTTCGAAACTGTTTATAAAAAAACTCATGGGGTATAATATATGGTTGCAGCAGTATTACTTTGGTTTCATTCCACCACTTGTAATGCGAGGGGCGCATAAAACCACATACATATTTCCTCAACTAAATGTATTTTACTTATGTGTTTCAATTTACCACGGTATACACATATTGAAAATGAAATTTGATAGGAAACCGCTGTTGGATACAGTTGGAGTATGCTGTCTCATATAACTATAATAGAGGTCATTCGTTATTTGTATGTGCATGGGGGAGGGGGTGGGTGGGTGGGTGTAAAGGCGGGCTATGGGTGTTGCAACCCTTCCTTCCTTCCCATGCTTTTCACATTATTAAAACAATATATGAATTTAGACAAAGCTTTCAAAATATGACAATAGCCTATTTTTGCAACTAATTGGAAACATTGTTTCAGTGTGTCTGAAGGTTTGACACATTCCAGGACGTATTAAAACACTGTATAACATTGTATTTTACAATCTTGCTAAGGGATAAGTCAATAAATTATTGCAAGAGCCCCAAATGAAAGGCATTTTGACAAAAATAGTCCTTTTTAAAAGAACAAGTGAACAATTGTCCTGCATTTACACCACATTTATATGGCAACACATATCTGCGTTCGCACTATTTTTCAAACCACCTGAAAATACGATTTCAGGAACATTATGATATGACACAACATTTCTGAAAGGATGTGCACGAGTAGGGCACACTGGCGAGTGAAAAGGTTTCTTTAATATCCAGTAAAATAAGTACGATGTTTACAGAACGAATCTCTGCAGGGATTCCCCCACACGCAAGATTCGCGCGCAAGAATACGACTGACTGACTGACTGACTGAGTTTAGTTTTACGCCGCTTTTAGCAATATTCCAGCAATATCACGGCGGGGGACACCAGAAACGCAAGAATACGAATTTGGGTCAGCTCGGCAAGATCAACAAAAGGAGTGCTTAGATGTATATACACTACACGAATTCTGGATAGACTAGAATTTGTATTATTTGGCATATGTGCCTCCAATGTTTTTAAAACGTGATGACAATGTTTCCTTAAATCTGTTCTCACCCAACATTTCTGCAGCGTTTTAAAAACATTTCACTAATATGTTGTGAAATAGTTTCAAACATGTTGCAGCATGGCGTTTTTGAAAAACGTTTTGAAAACATTTCAAAAACGTTTTCAGTATTCTTGAGATATTTAGACATTATTTGTATGATATGGCATAAATGTGATGGCAATATATTTCATTAAACATGTTCTTGCCCAACATTTCTGCAACGTTGTAAGAACATTTCAATGATATGTTGTGAAATAGTTTCACCCATGTTAAAGCATGATGTTTTTTTAAAACATTTTGAAAACATTTAAAAAACATTTTCAGTATTCTTGAGAGGTTTACACATTATTTGTATGAAATGGCACGGCTTTCATCGTTAAGCTGCTAATATGATGAACATTTTCACCAGGCCATAATCCTGCATGATTTAAAAGTGTGTTATAAATTAACAAGTCTGAGTGAGTGATATATTTACAAAATGATCGCTTGCCAGTCGGGCCAGTGACTGTGGAGATTTACTTGCCCAACTGGATTTTAACTAGCCATGGGCTACCGGGCCAGTGGCTATTTCGCACACTGTTTGTATGACAATATTTCAGTAAACATGTTCTTGCATAACATTCCTGCAACGTTTTAAAAACATCTCACTAATATGTTGTGAAATAGTTTCAAACACGTTATAGCAAGACGTTTTTGAACAACATTTTGAAAACATTTCAAAAACATTTTCAGTATTTTTGAGAGATTAAGACATTATTTGTATAATATGGCATATGTGTCCCCAATGTTCTTAAAACGTGATGACAATATTTCATTAAACATGTTCCTGCATAACATTCCTGCAGCGTTTTAAAAACATCTCACTAATATGTTGTGAAATAGTTTCAAACACGTTATAGCAAGACGTTTTTGAACAACATTTTGAAAACATTTCAAAAACATTTTCAGTATTTTTGAGAGATTTAGACATTATTTGTATGGTAGGCATAAATGTGTGCACAATGTTTTTAAAACATGATGACAATATTTCATTAAACATGTTCTTGCATAACATTCCTGCAGCTTTTTAGAAACATCTCACTAATATGTTGTGAAATAGTTTCAAACACGTTATAGCAAGACGTTTTTGAACAACAGTTTGAAAACATTTCAAAAACATTTTCAGTATTTTTGAGAGATTAAGACATTATTTGTATAATATGGCATTTGTGTCCCCAATGTTCTTAAAACGTGATGACAATATTTCAGTAAACATGTTCTTGCATAACATTCCTGCAACGTTTTAAAAAACATCTCACTAATATGTTGTGAAATAGTTTCAAACACGTTATAGCAAGACGTTTTTGAACAACATTTTGAAAACATTTCAAAAACATTTTCAGTATTTTTGAGAGATTTAGACATTATTTGTATGATAAGCATAAATGTGTGCACAATGTTTTTAAAACGTGATGACAATATTTCATTAAACATGTTCTTGCATAACATTCCTGCAGCGTTTTAAAAACATCTCACTAATATGTTGTGAAATAGTTTCAAACACGTTATAGCAAGACGTTTTTGAACAACATTTTGAAAACATTTCAAAAACATTTTCAGTATTTTTGAGAGATTTAAACATTATTTGTATGATAGGCATAAATGTGTGCACAATGTTTTTAAAACGTGATGACAATATTTCATTAAACATGTTCCTGCATAACATTCCTGCAGCGTTTTAAAAACATCTCACTAATATGTTGTGAAATAGTTTCAAACACGTTATAGCAAGACGTTTTTGAACAACATTTTGAAAACATTTCAAAAACATTTTCAGTATTTTTGAGAGATTAAGACATTATTTGTATGATAGGCATAAATGTGTGCACAATGTTTTTAAAACGTGATGACAATATTTCATTAAACATGTTCTTGCATAACATTCCTGCAGCGTTTTAAAAACATCTCACTAATATGTTGTGAAATAGTTTCAAACACGTTATAGCAAGACGTTTTTGAACAACATTTTGAAAACATTTCAAAAACATTTTCAGTATTTTTGAGAGATTTAGACATTATTTGTATGGTAGGCATAAATGTGTGCACAATGTTCTTAAAACGTGATGACAATATTTCATCAAACATGTTCCTGCACAACATTTC